GAGAAATACCTTTTATGTGGGTGACAGCTCATTGCAATGTGTATTGGTATGGTAATGCTTACTTTGGTGCTAAATGTCAAGTCCATTGGCAATCACATTTAACAACATAAGATCAGTACCTGTAGAAATATAGATGCTACATAATAATCCTGGAAGCTTTTGTTTGCTATTCTGAAGCGCGAAGGACTTGTACTATTGGTAGGAGTGTGTCTGTGGAAGATGAGGAGATGGTCTGATCAGAATAAAATTATAAACCTTCTTTTCCCCCTTAGGAGACTGATACAATTTATTTCTTATCACATTTTATCTAAGAGATCTCTTAGAAAGGTTACAATTTGCCATAGTAAGCAGGATATATTTGGGCTTCTTGCTAAGGTACACGTCGTAAACGTTACAGGCAAATGATCCAAAATGGGGCATGTACACACAGTTCTGAGTAACATGACATTTAGCTATGAGAACTCTACAAACATCAAGATTGGGCAGCCCCCTCCCATTATCCAGAGTAGCATGGGTTTTCTCCAGAGATGGTCTGTTCGGTACCCAAAGTCTAGCTCAACTACCCACCATCTCTTTGTAGTTACCTTATAACCTAGATTCAACAGCTTGGTCTGGTTTCTTTTCAGAGCAGCATCACATAATGTTCCCTCTTTCCTACCATTTCCATGTTATCTCTGCTTTACAGTTAAGCAGTTGGGTACAAAGAGTCAATTCACTTCCCATTTATGCTTTGCATCTTTGCTTGTTCAAATTTTCCTTAGGCTGGAGTAATACATACAGATTGTTTGATGCTGCCATTTTTATGGACTGTCAGTGATGGCAAACCTTTTAGAGACCAAGTGCCCAAAAACTGGCCCCACCCCACTCCATCCCCCTGCCCACCCCCGCTCTGCCCCATCCCCCGCCCCACCTGCCCACAGGACCACTCACCACCTCCAGGGCCCACCGCAGACCGCCCAGGCAGCCCAGCAGCACTATGGCGGCCACACCCTCTGCCCACGCCCTGCAGCATCAACTGCATGATGGGGTGTGAAGGCAGAGTCTTGTCTACGCTGCCTGGCTGCCATGTCCTTGGCTGTGCTGCTCCATGTGGGCCACGCTCGAGGGCGAGTCTCCTTCAGGGGGGCTGCTGGAGAGGAGGGGGTTGCGGGGGGAGGCAAGGCTGGGGCAACGGCACATGTGCCCACAAAGAGGGCTCCGAGTGCCGCCTCTGGCACCCGTGCCATAGGCTCGCCACTACTGGACTATGTCCTTTAGAAAGTTTTAAACTGTAATGATAATAGAAATAACCTAGTCCAGGGATCTCCAACCCCCGGTCTGTGGACCGACACCGGTCTGTGACATGCCAGAAACCGGCCGCACAAATAAGCAAAGCCCCATTCGAGGGATGCAGGCAGTACATGAAACCATGTCCCCTCCAGTCCACAGAAAAACCTCTCCACAGAACCGGTCCCTACAAAATATACCAATTTCCTCATCAGGCTGAGGCTAGGATAAAGAACATTCAGTATTCAATAATCAGTGTTCAGTTAAGCAGGCACTGGAAAAAAATGAATATTAAGCATGATCTGTAGTATGACTTGTGTAATTTGAATCATATTCAGGCAAATAGCATGTACACGTGTTCATGTGCCCATACAGTAAACAGATAAGTAATGGTACTATAATGTTTTCTTCTGTCATTCGATCATGTCTGATTCTTGGAGACTATCTGGAACTGAAGTTCCTATAGTTTTTCTGGCAAGGTTTTTCAGAAATAGTTTGCCATTATGCCCTTCCCTGGATTGAGAGAAAGTGATTAGCTAAAGGTTATCCAACTGCCTTATGATTAAGGCAGGACCAGCATTCTGGTTCCTAGCCTGCTGCCTTAACCATTACACCAAACTGCCTCTCAGCAAATATGGTGAGAGTGGCCTGTTACAGTACTGTTATGGCAAGAAATGTTTATTGATCAGCCTGCCCATTGCCATGATAGTAAAAATGTTGTTAAATACACCAGGAGTTTTACTGGGTTTCTCTGAGTGAGGATGACATATATGGCTACAAACTGATGTTTTTTAAGGTAAAATTGTATATGGCTGGTTAATCAGCAGTCTCAGAGTAGAATAACGTCTGAAATTGGAAAACTGCACTGCTGGGTATGTACTGTTCTGGAGGCTGTTGCTGAATGCAATTGCAGTATGACTGCATATTGCAAAGAGATTGGAATAGTCTCTGTAAATAGTTGCACCTTATATTGAAGAGATGCTAGCCTTCCAGCATTATATAAAAGAATCAGATGGGCCAAGACTCTGTTTTATTTCTAGGAAAAGGCAAAAACATTAAATAAAGGTGTTAACATGCATAGATTCCAACTACTGTAATGAATTCATTTTTGTGTCCAACAGACTACAGAATGTTTTGTGTTGTGTCATTTTTGCAGTAGTCCTCCAGTTCAGTTTCATCTTTAGAACATTTGTATATTAGCACATAGCCAGAAAATCATAATTACTTGCCATAATATGATATAAATTAATCTAGTAGTGTGCAATTTATAATTAGTAGTTGTCAAGTGATCAAGCATATTTAATACGTCATCAAGGGTTCATCTCATTGTAGGTACTGCAGGAGATGCAGCTTATTGATTTGCTCTTTTATAAAATTCAGTAGCAAGGGAGAGAAGATTAAAGTTATATGAAGGTAATAGCAAAATGGGAATGTTCTTAGACTGGAAGGGATTTGAATGAAGTATTGTACTTGGGATATATCACATATATTTTTTTGTTGCATCTACTAATATTTCTTTCCTTAATGGTACCAAATCTTCCAACTGAGTGTTTAATCAATAGGTGTATATAAAATACTTTCTTCCAACAACAGGGATTTATACACCTTGCACAAGGTTGGGATTTTATATGAAAATAAATTTGTCTAATTATTTCTCCTGCTGACTGAATAGTCTGTTTCAAGTCTGCACTCTGAAGACCTTGAAAAGGCATCATACATAATGCCTATTTTAACCTATCACTGCATATTTCTGGTAACAAATTAGACAGAACTATAAGCAGAATGGGTTTTTAATGCTTCTTCTCAATACACTTTGAGTTTACTAATTGATAAGCAATAACACTTGCTTATCATTTGATAAACTTGTATTTGAAAAGACTTCAAGTGGTTTGTATGTGACTACTTGTGAATTTCTCATTGTATTTCTAATTTTGTCTCCAAAATATTGTGATAAGATTAAAATTGGAGCCATGTTGCCTGAATCTTAAATGTCACAACACCATATATGTCTCAGAGCAGCAAATTTCTTGGAAAATAAGACCATTAAGGGTATAGATGTGCATTTATAAAGATGATTTCCACTCTCAATTTTAGATGGAAATTCTTTCAAGAGACAAAAAATAAAACTAAACAGCACAGATATGATTCCATTACTAAATTTAATAGACACGAGGATCATACATGTTTAACATGTTCATTAACATAAAAACAAAGTTCATTATCTTTTCAATGTACATTATATCATTTTGCTTTACTGTCCGTTTGACAGAATTTTTTCAGCCAACTGCACGCTTCCAGTCATTTCCCCTCTTTTTCCATCAACCTTACAAAGCAATTGAAATCCTGTAATCTTTATTACATTCAATAAGGTTTAATTTTGAGTAGATATGCCTTTTTAAGCTTTCTCCTAATGATTCCTATGTAACAATCTGCATTCTGTAGCTGAAGGTGATGAAATTAGACATTGTTTCCCATTTTGTTTTACACAGTAATTTCCCTAGATAAACACTAGTACTCTATTATACACCTTACTTTCTTAATGAGGACACATCCTTAAAGCTACAGTTCCCTTTAAATATATACATGCGCGCCCTTCCCCCTCCCAGCTTGCTTTCATCATACTGATCAACTCTTGGTCTCCTCCTTTCTGGAGAAGCTTCCCGGCTTGAGTCCGACTATATCAAAATAGCTGCCGTGCCTACCTTAGGGTCCCCTATGTCAAGACAACCCCCTGCCACGCCCCTTCTTGGCGGCAGAAGCTGCTTTTACGATTTCTCTCCAAGATACCCTGCTCGAGTCTTTGTTTTGCAATGACTGCCATGAAAAAAAGAATCTCTGGACCAGGTCTCAACTCTCCGGGAAAATAATCGGATTTTCCCCTTTGACCTGGGGACACGTCTCCCCTCGCTATAATTCCACTAAGATCGAGATAATTATATCAACCGACTTAACTATTGCTCGTGTAGCCCCCTAGTCCATTCTTTAGATCCTCCCTCAAACCCATCGCCACACCCCACGCTTTTAGCACCTCCTTTGCCTGACCTCTCCCCTCCCCCAACCTTTTCTCACCATCAACTCCCCCCCAAGTGCAAATCTCGCGAGACAATATGCATTTTCACAAGTAGTGCTTTCCCCCCGTTTTTTTTGCACCAATCGATCCAGGGCTGGGCTTAAAAAAAAAAGACTAAATAAAGAAGGGCGGGGGGAAAGGGGGTGTAGAGAAGGGGGGGAGAAAAAGTGAAATGTGGGGGGTGCCCCTCCCCCCATCGATCGCAACTTGCAATCCCCCCACACACACACCTGACTAGCCTTTTTTTGTAACCCCCTTTCCCATCCCACCGCCCTTTCCCTCTGTAATCTGTTCCTTGGGGAAAAGGAGGTGAAGAGTCCCTGATTCCTCCCGGGAGTGAAGCTACCTTTGTCGGGGACATAGACTACGCGAGGCCGAGGATTTTGCGGCCTGTATTCTCTGCCGAGAAGGCACCGCAGCTGCTTCTCCCCCCCCCCCCCCCCCCCCCCCCCCCCC